AGAGAAGTGCAGGGTCCTGCCCTGCAATCCCAGACACACCAACAGCTTGGAAGGAGAAGGGATTGAGAGCAGCCCTGGGAGAAGGGATTGAGAGCAGCCCTGGGAGAAGGACTTGGGGATCATGGTTGTTGAAAAACTTGCCATGAGCTGGCAGGGAGTGCTCCCTGTGTATTTTCAGTGAAAATAGTTGCGATCTCATTAATATGGCTGCATATTAGATAGTAAATTAAGCAATTTGCTATAATAGCATTTAGTGTAACAACATCCACAAATATTTAACTTCTGAAGTTATTGTGGTATGACATTTTGACTATAAAGAGAGATGGCTCAATGCCAGTCATTTTTGTGGAAACAGGTTCTGTGGACACAACTCAAACCATGATGGTACCACTTCAGAGAAAACCCAGGGCTGTCTGAATTGTGGAACCAAGCAGATATGAATTGCTAAAATCACAGCTGCTGTTTCAACCTCAGTTTTTTGACCCTTGCACTTGCCTGGTGTAAGTGGCTGATGTAAGAGTCTGGAGGGAAATGCAACATGTGCTCAGGTAATTAAAGTCTGTGATATAATACGTACCCAATGGAAGAGGGAATTAAGGTTACCCTAGCATCTGTAAATCTTGCATTTGCTAATTTAAGTGAATGACTTAGCTGCATTAACTGGTCAAAAAAAGTGTCAGATCCCACGGTGGACAGTGAATTCTCTGCCTGATGTTGGCAGCTGGCTGTGTAATCTGAGACTCTGTAGGCTGCAGTGCTGCTGCCTTTAGGGACAGTTTATGATAGCTGGCAACAAAGAACGGTGATGCTTCAGACTGATATGCCTACTCTGACAGTTTCCTACTCAAATAGCTGTAAAATACATGTTCTTTTAAACTAACTCTTGAATGTACTTTAGAAGGTTCTCTATAGATTACTTTTCTGTGAAAGTGGTATTTTTTCATCAGGACAGTTGAAGACAGGTCTGTACTGCTAGAACTAGTTTCCTGTTGAAATTTAAACACTTGTTTTACCCTCCCTCTATCATTTAGGTCATTAGCTAGCCTTTAGCAAAAAACTCTGAATGTTGTGTTTTAAATAAGGAGAAGAACATTCCCATTGTCCTAAGCAGCCCCTCTTTGCATTAAAAGCAGATGAATCTGTTCCAGGAAACCCCAGAGTGTACTTTGGATTAAAAACTTAGGCATGGTAAATAAGCCTCAGAATTAAAAAGTCCTGCATGACTGGAAATTATGACTTCATGGTGTCTGTTAGACTATCTGAGCTGCCACAGAACATATCTGCAGCATGTTCCTCCTGTGAGTTAGTGGCTGTAATTTGTAATGGTCGTGGCTGTGAGCCCTCCAAATGTCAGCATCCTATTTACTTGCTTTTCTGGAGATGTTTTAGGTCTCCAGTCTGTGCTCTTGGAGTAATGTAGCCTGTGATATGTAGAAGGGATAACTCCCCAGGCTGAGCTGGCATGGAGCTGTTTTGGATGGCTTGATTTATTGGATAAAGATGTTAGATACGCTAACACAGAAATTGCTTGTATTTGTCAGTGTTGGCTGGAGAGATGGACCTTCACTGTTATAGTAAAAAATAAAAAGCACTGTTTCTTGAAGTAAAATGGGAATATTGCTGATGTAAGTAAAAATCTAATGGTTTATTTATTGAGGTTTTCCTAAGGTGAATGATAACCTGCATTTTTCAGGAATCTTCCAGCAGTATTGGTAGCCATACCTTTTGGGGCACGAGGTGCATGGTATATTCCTGTATAGTTTTAGGGATGGTTTTATCATGTTCACATTTATATTTGGTATTCTGTGGCTTGCTAGCAGGTTGTATGAAATGAGAAAAAATGCCCATGTCATGTATACTGCTTATGAGGCCCTGTTCTAATGAGCAGAAGTGGTTCTGTCCTGCACAGGAATGAGCATAATTCCTGAAATGTCTGGTTTTGTTATTTTGCCCACACCAAGTGACTTCTTCTGATCTTTATTAATTGAGTGCTTATTCTTGTTTGACATGTGAATACATTACAGGCTGAGATGGAGGTCCATATTAAGGTCAAATAAGTGCCTTGTAAATGTTATGTCAGAGTTACGAAGGGAATTTCTTACTGGTTCTGGGAGCAAGATAAGTTCTTGAGAGACAGAAGTAATGCAGTTAGTTCTGTTTTGTCCAAGTAGTGATACTGAAAAATGCATTGTTGGGAGTTCTGTCTCCATTTAAAATGTTTTATATCAGAGTATTGAGGAATAGACTACTTGGAAGATAATACTTCTGGAGCTCTTCTCCCTGTTTGGTCTCAACTTTGGGCTATTAGACCTAAATTATAAATTATCTGAGTATCTTTGTTGTATCCTGCTATTTGAAATACAGGGGAGCATACTCATAATTACTTGCTAAGTTGCAAAGTTTAATGGTCTAATGTTGACTTACTTTAAAAAGTAAGTTAAGGGTCGTGTCTCTCTTAGAAAAACCAAAGTGGTCTCCTGACATTCCACTTTCTCAGAATCTTTTGCTAATAAATAAAGTAAATGAGTTATTATGTTTGCCTATTTTTTCAGTTGCATTCAGTGTTTCTCCTTGTTGTCTGCTGCACTTTTGGTTTCCTTCACTCTCCTCTTGGTCCTGACCTATTTATATGCACTTGCTTCCATTGAAGGTATGATAATTTCTGCCTCTCAGATCTCCTCAAACTCATCTGGGAAAAGAGCATTAGTGCTGGGGGCAGTGGGGTGCCCTGCCTTGGATGTAAGATGCTATGGTCATAAACTACCACAGTAAACAAAAATTTGGTTTGTACTACTTGTATACAGCGTGAAGTGATGGCACCAGTCAGTGCTTGGAGTGCTGGCCCAGAAACTGCTGTCTGTAAGCTGTCTGAGCTGCTATCAAAGAGAGCAGTGATCAAGTCTGTGCCTCAGCATTGCCTGCTGCTAATCTTCCCCTCTCTTCCACCCTTAGCTTCTTCTTTTCCTCCTTAAATAATAAAATCAAGCTACATTGCAGTCTTCTGGAGAAAGCACTGTCCTCTGCTGGCAACCCCTGAGGCTCAGTGAGGAAATGTTGCATAAATTCACTGATCACAGGGGCAAGAAAGGTTTTCTATCTTAGAGCACAATGTACCAGCATACCAGCTTGTGCAAAAATGGAGGGAAACTGGACTTAGACATAGAATTATGTGTCATCTTCAGTGGTCATGCCAGCTTGTCAAACCATGACCTGTGAAGAGAGGTCAGTGCCCTGTGATGTGACACTGTGACTTAAAAGGTACACACCCAGCAACTTCTCTATAGTTAAGATAGCAACAGTAGTGGCAGAGGGTGTGGTCTTGGGTGTACCCCAGAGTTTTGCAATACACTGTGCACATATTTGTCTAGTTTGAGCTTTCAGGATTCAGCCCTTTGCCCTAGTAGCTTTTAAATGGGGCCTGTACCATGAGCTGGTTAAAGGAATGGGTCAAATTCAATACCTTATCATACAGTCAGCATGGGTGTGTCGTGCTCTTGATCACTGCCCACTAACAGTGAGGGTGTCAGAACTGTGCCCGGTGCAAGCCCAGGAGAGCCCTGCTGTAGCTGTGGAGAAGTCCCTCTGTTAGAAGCACACTGGTGATCCGAGTTCACCTAGTTTGAGATTTTTGCAGTGAAGCCTAAATTTAGGACAAACTCCCATTGACTAATTTTAACACTGCTGCTGCATGAGGTGCTGTGTTGAGTTACTGGCGCTGGTGAGGATAGCCAAGGCTTGCCTGGATGCTCTAAAATAGCATGTGGACTTTAGGTCCATTTTTTTCTCCCTAGCTGTATTAACATAACCCTGCAGGTAGGTATTTTGCATTGCCTCCCCTTTGTAGCTGCTATTGCCAGGTATCCCCCACTGTGGTTAAATGTGGCCTGACCCAATGAGCTGAGCCAAGTCTGCAGAGGTGTTAACACCTGACTTTTTTTTTGCCTTGCTGCCAACTTTGCAGTGGTCTCTGGCTGCACTGCAGTGACAGCAGAACCCTGAGCATGCCAGGTCACTGTGCAGCATCCATGGGTATTGCTGTGTGGCTGAGGGGAAGGACACCACTCTGATGGCACAACAGCTGGGGCATCTCTGTGGGGAGTGGGATGAGATGGCTGCTGAATGCAGTGACAATCATTGTAACCTGGTGTGAATATAGATCTTTCAGTCTACAAAGTGTGTGGAAGCATGATATAGGCAATCCCTGATGTCTGCAACTACATCCCTGGGTGGGATGGGGGGAATCTGGGCAAGGCAATGGTTTTGAAACCCTCTTAGAAGTGCTGCAAACTGGTAACAGTCATGCAATTCCATAACAGGTAGTATCCAAAGCTTCAGTTTAACTGCAGAGTTGTTCCTTTGGGAATATAAGCCAGCTGCTGTTTCCAAACTGTTACTGTTTTTCCTACAGAAGTTGAAAAATAAATGTTGAAAGCGTTAAAAGCAAATGAAAGGAAATGTATCTGAATTGTGCATAGTGTGTGTGATGTAGCCACAGCATGAATTGTCTTGAAGAAGATGAGAAAATGCTATCTAGTCTGAGCTTCTATACTTTACCTGATATAAATTAAAAAGATTTGGATATATAATATGATGCAGTAATCCTAAACAGTCTTGAATGCAAGTGTGAGAACACCTTTTTCAATATCTAGGCTTTGAAGTTAACAATTACAGTTTAGATTTTTATTCAAGTTAAGCCATAAATTGTGCTTAGGGTTGATGTATTGTTGCCACTTGAAAATTTGAAAGAAAAGATGCCACTCATTTATGTTGGACTGTGATAATTATCATCTTCATCTTGTATGTTTTTTAAATGTAAGGTAAATATCTTAGACTAATGAAAACAAATACTGTAAAAAAGTATAATTATGGGACAATTGGAAGTTGTCATGGTTTGGCCCCAGCCGGCTGCCAAGTGCCATGCAGCTACTTGTTCACTCCGCCACCAGCAAAAATGAATGTTTAAAATGGTGATCTCTCCAAGCCTCCCTATTTTATTTCAGGTTTATGACTCCGACTGTTGCGACAGCATTCTTCTGCAGCTGCGGGAATATCTGCCAAAATACTTCGGTGTCTGGTCACCACCTACTGCACCAAATGGTACTGTTCTAATTTTATCTCTTAATCCAAACCTCCTGGAAAAAACTTCTGGAGACTAATTTTTGGCAGTTGTGAGCTCTGTAGGGTTTTTCTGGACTTGTTTTGGAACCCACTGACATTCCCTCTAACAAGTGGTTCCAGTTTGCAGTCCTGTGGCTGGATTAGATCTTTGGAGTCTTCCTCCCAGGGAAGATGGGGTGTGGCTGTTTGTACAGCAGAGGTTTCCTGAGTAGCTGGGCCTGATGGACATTGTCCCAGAGCTCCTGCTCTGGGTGAGGTCGTGGTGGGGGAGTGGGCTGGTTCCATGGTTATGTGCAGCCAGGTGATCAAAGGAAGAAGCACTTTGTGGGTGTGGAAGAAAGGAAAGATGGATACTCTGGGGCTGAGGAAGCATTCCAACTGGAATCTGCTGCTGCTGTATCTGCAGAGGTTGGATCCCATCACTCTGCCTTACCACCCAAAACACTTACTTCAGAAGGTGTCATGGTGGGGAGTTCTGCTTGTCACCCTCCGTTACTGGTTTGAATGAAACAAAGATCGAGTGTCTTAAAATCTGTGTTTGTATAACATTAGGAGTCAGGAAGAAAAGGCTGCTTTTGGTAGAACAATTGGAAGATGGTCTCTTCAAGAGAAAATAGATATTGTTGTATTAGAAACTAGGTTTTCTTCTGGGGACTTTTCTAATTCACAGTTGGAAAATGAAGCTTCTGGAACACACAGAAACAAAGGGATACCATGGAATCTATTTGAATAAATGGGCACCAAACTAGATGCCGTGTTTCTTTAAAATATCTCTGTCTTCTGCTTATGTTATCACTTGATAGACTTGTTTTCCAAAGAAGTAGTAAGACAGTATCCAAAGACATGGGGCAATATCTACAGGAAAAAATGAAAACAAGATTGTGTTACTACCAGCAATTTCTTAGCTCAGATTTGCCTTCATGCTTTCCTGTTTGGCACTAACTCTAAATAGCTCTACAAGAGCTATGTTTTTCCTTCCCTCACAATTTAATGTGTCATGGAGTTCACCTAATATTCCCTCTCAATTGCAAATAATTTTTTTCTATTTGCAGTATGATCTTAAGATGGGAAAATATGTGGTCTAACCAAGAGACAGTAATTCAACACCTTGCTCATTTGCTTTGGGGATTCAAAAGCACTGTGCACCACGGGGTTGGATTTTGGAAGGTCCCCCCAGTCATTCAGACAGAGGCAGTAGGGATAACTGTTTAAAGGAGGAGAAACTTTTAGTTTTGTTTGTTTTGCTTCTTGAAAAGGCTGTGTACTATCATGAGTCCTCTTCATAGAAAGCTGTGGCGACAGTTCAACCAAAACACTGCACTGCCAGCTCTTATCTGTAGTATTAATGAGCTTTGTGTAGTCTTGATAGAAATCAAAGTCTCTGCAGATGATGGAGCTTAGCAGAGTGTATGTGTATCTTGTTCCTAAATGTAGATTGAAGATATGTTTGTAGGTTTGCTGCAGTCTTGATATTGGAAGCCTGACCTTTCCCTTGGCAATCACTGCTCTGCAGGCTCTGGCATCACAGCTCTGTACAATCCAGTAGTAGTGAACCCAGTAATTTCCTATTGTTACTAAATTAGTCATAGGTAACTTCTGAAAAAACAAAACTTAATCTACTCTCAACAGGTAAGCAGGAACTGCAGTTTGTAAGATGAAGAACATAATTTAGTTTCTTAGAGAAATATTTAGAGAGAAGTGTCAGCATTCTATACTGAAAAAATAGGTGAGTGGATGAAATTGCTAGCTAAAAGGGGTGAAATGTATGAAGTGTAAATGAGAATATAGGAAATATGACAGAAAAGATGGACTCCCAGTATCAATACAATTTGTAAAATAACTCCCGTTCTGCTGAAATCACATACCCTGTGCTACTGCAAAGGAAATGGAGGTAGAGGTAGGATGCTGTTTTCCTAAGCTCGTCTAAAATGGGTTGGACTTGAAATTTAGCTTCACTTGCATTGTGGGTATGTGGATTTTATTCACAAAGCAGTGGAAAAGTTGTTATAAAGATGTAGGAGCCATCTGCTGCTGAGTTATCCGAGTGCCTAACCTGTGAACAGGATAGATACATATAACTCAGCTTCAAACCTTTATTTTCTTCCTTTGTTGCTGTGGGCAGTTGAGGCTTTTCCCTGCTTATTCCTGTGTTTTGAGAGGTGTCTCCTAAGTTATGAAAAGGAATCAGATGCCTCAAGTGATTTTGTCTCTTCTGTCTCCAGGGAGGATGAATGCGCTGGCATGTTTGTGCTGAAGTCTGCAGTGGTTCATGCCATGGATACTTGCTGAATTTTAGTGGTCTTTGCTTTATTTCCTTTGGGACTGTAAAAAATGTGTAAATAATATGTCAAACCACACCCTCCTGCCACTGGTAAATAGAAAAGGGCAGGGCAAGTCTCTGATGATTGATTTATTTAAATCCTTGAAATGTATGGTCAAGACTATCTAGCAATGCAAGTTTTAATGTAAAAATCTTGATGAATTTCTCCCTACATGGGGGTTTTTAATTTACTCTAGTTTGAGATAGCAAATGCATCATTTCCTGAAGCACACTGGTTTAGCAGGGCACTACATAATAATTTAGAAAATCTGAATTGCTTGAAAAATCTGCAGGTTTTTGTTTAACCAAGCAAGGAGAAGGGAGGAGAGCCCTCTGATTACCTGGGATGAGGTGCAGACTCACTGATGCCCTTGACTTACGGTCAGAGCATCAGAGATTTGCAGCAACTGACTTGAAAATGGAGAGCAGTTGATAGATATCTGAGGCTTAACTTCGTTTGCCTTAGTCTCAGTGCTTGGAGGTATCATAGGGGTAACTGCTGGAAGTGAGAGTCATTTATGTGTCAGTATTGTGGGTTTGGGAGCTGTTTCACTGGACTGTTGAATGCAGTGCCAATAAGCACCAAACAGTGCCAAGAAAGATGGAGTGTAAACAATTGATCCATTTGTTTGAAGCAATCATCAGAAAAAGTAACTTGCTTTATCTGGGTGGTATTACTCTGCCAACAAGGCCAGACAGCTTTGTGAGAGCAGAGGGGTGTGTTAACAGGTACAACAGGCCTAATTCTGAGCTAGCATTTAGCTAACAAAAAAGATTTCATTCTACAAAGTGTGAAAGAGATGAGAAATTTCTGGGTAGTTTACAGCCTTCGCCAAGTAATTAGTGTTTCCCAGGGTTGGTGTTGTCTACAAAAGTAATTTAATGCTTAATTAAAAAAAAAAATTGTTACATTTTTAGGAGGTCGGTAAGATAGTTTAAAGTTCTAAATATCTGTCACTTCATTATTGCCCATCCTTTCCAGATTTCTTAAAGTATTTGGGAGTTGCTGAATGTTGGTGCTGTATGGTTAAAAAGCAGGAATTAGACCAGTGCAGTAGAGGACAGCAGATGCCCATGGGTACCTATGGAAATAGATGTTTTATACTCCTTTCTATATGGTTTTGTTTTAGGGTTGATGAAAACATTGCAGCTAAGCAATTTGTATTTTTTATTTCTAGCAGTTTGATGCTGGAGTGCTCTCCACATGCTCTAAAGCATTTTGGAATTGTTGGTGAAGGACTGCAAGCCCTTTTGTGAGATTTTTTTCTATTTACTGTCTTTCCTCACCTCCCATGTAAACCTGTGCCTCTTTGTTTTTGAGAGCTATGTACTGAAAACCTTGACCTTTCTTTAGTTATTTTCTGCATTGTTTTAGAGTGATTGCACAAATCTGTTGATTGCAGTGATTTCTGTAATATGCAAAAATAGTCAGAAGGATGACACTTAGATTTTTACAATTTTTTGGTTTAATAAGAGATAGCTATCAGATTTTATGGACTCCCCAGGTATTGGTAGTGGTTTCTCAAATTCCTGCAAAAGCTGTGCTAATATCTGACTGAATTGGACCTCTGTATAACAGCTTTGAAGAGTAGAAGTAGCACCTGCAGTTCAGGTGATACAGAATATGCTGCCTGGTAGGGAGAGTATTTGTCCTGCTTCCCTTAGGGAATATTCAGTGAGCAAATATCAAATATGTTGGCTGCCTAGGGCTCCTCAAAGGTAACTCTGAGTTACTTCAGCTTGGATGTATTCCTGCAGTTGTAGTTAGTGGGTGAGGTGGCCTATAACAAAACACTTTTTGCTGTAGCTGGATTGATCCTGTAGCCCAAAGGACACTGAAAGCTGTGGGAGCGAGTTAATGGAAGAGTAGTTTTGGGGTTTTTTTAATTTATTTTTTTTTTTATTAGTGTATTGGTTTGATGTGTTTTCCTGAAAATGACTACATTAACAAGATGCCTAGTTCCATTCATATAGAAAGCAGGCAGCTGAGGATTAAATACTTTGTGAGAAATTAGGACATTTGATCATGATGGTGTAAAAACTGAAGCTCTAGTAGGACTCAAAGTAGTACAAGTCCCTTTCATTTATTTTCCTTAAGAAAGTGTTTCTGCTTATTAAGTGTAAATCAAATGTTGCTTGTTCCTTTTATCTTGACTGGGACTGGCTTGTTACCTGTCTGTACAGTTTTCAAACAAGGCACTTTGTGCCTCTTTTAAAACTTGAACTAGTTTTGCTTTCTCTCACAATCCCATTTTAGATCATACTGTAGGAATGGGGTATAATACAATGGGATTTTGGGTTCGAACTGCATTCAAGGCAAAGAAATACATTTATGGAGTAGGCTGTGCTGGAAAGAAAACCAGCCATGAAGTTTGTGCCTGGTGACAGGTGGATTTACAAAGCACATATGAAGAATGAGATGATGTTGAGGCTGTGTGTTGCCTTGGTTATGCCATGTCCTAGCAAGGGCTGGAGGTGGGTGCTGCTGTCTCCCAAGCAGAGTTGTCTGAGAGCTAGGTTTATACTGACTCCATTTCCTTCTTGAGTTCTGATAGTGAGTGTGGGGGTCATGCTGGTAATGATCATTTTCATCCTTTAAATCTTCAGGCACTCCAAGTACTTTTGGGGTTTCTTAGTCCAGCCACCCTCCTAAAGGGCTGTTAGAAATGGATGAAAGGCAGCCTAGGATTCCAAGAGCATTTTCTCCTAAAGGTGTGCCATGAGAAATAAGTGTAGATGGGAGTGGGATAAAAAGAAGCAAAATGAGCTGCACTTAAGCCCCTGAAGGCTAGGACTGAAATGTTTTCTTCATTTTTAAAATGACACAAGAGACCATCCGAATTGCGAAACCAGCCACACTGCTGCAAAACCTGCCTTTGTATGTGGTTAGTAATGCTCTTTGTGATATGTTAATGACTTAATGAAAGCTGCTCAGGGATTTTATCTGGGCAATAATTTGAATTTGAATGCTAGGTTAATGCATGTTAATTGTATGCAATTTTCTAAACAAGAAAGCATTTAGATTTTCATAGCAATAGAATTTGTGGGTGTCAGTGACCAAGATTTAGCCTGCATTCAGAGACAAATTTGACTCTTGAAATCATGTGATATTAAGCCTTAAACTATTCACATTCCTCCACAGGTGCTCAGCCAGAAGCTATGTAATTATTTTGCTATGACCCACTGTTAACAAAAGTTTTGGTTTTTTGACAGACACATATCTAAAACTGGAAGATGTGACCCGTAAGTTTAATAAGCCCTGCATAATGGATGTAAAAATTGGTCAGAAAAGTTATGATCCCTATGCTTCAGCAGAGAAGATACAGCAGCAGGTCAGCAAGTACCCGCTGATGGAAGAGATTGGCTTTTTGGTTCTTGGAATGAGGGTAAGAACTTTTGTCTTCACTTTCAGTTTATGCTCAGGCCTCTTGTCCCACACCAGGTACAGCAACTGGTTTTCCTAGCAAACAGAATCCTCTTGAGCTGTACATAAATACTGTGTTACCTGAATGTCTTGGTAGTGCTGGTGTCAGCTGTTGTGTGAAGTCAGTTCCAAAGCACTGCCCTGGTTCAAAACAATTACTTAACTTGGCTGTGTCCATTAGGGCAGGTTATTTGCAACCTGGGTACTGTATAGGTATACAGGAGAGGGGCTGGGTATTTAAAACTGAATACAGTTGCAATTAATTCTTCACCACCACAACAGATATTTGAAATTATTAAGCAGATTTTTGTTTATTTGTTTTCTTTCAGGCTTACATCAGAGAATTACATACTGAACCAGTCTTTCTAATAATTGAGTAATGAGCTGTGTCTTCCACATTTTTCATCCTTATACTCTGCTTTTAAATAAAAATAATTTTACGTATTTTTTTTCTATTTAGGGAAGAGTAAGTAAGCTCTCAGAGGTGATGCATATAGCTTTGAACAGCTGCTTATGTTTTGCATTTTAAAAAGTTTTCCATCAGAAGGAAACTTCTTTTGATATTTACACACTCAAGGAGGCTGTCAGGGAAAGGTTAGTTGGGCATGTAGACATCCCTATAACTCTTAGTACCCTTAGAAATACTAAGAGTCAATAGGTGTGTATTGGCTACTTTAAAGCTTCAACATAAAGAAAAGCTGTACAGAACGTTTGTGGCTCAGTAAGAGAAATGTGTTGATGTCACTGAGCTGATGGAATCCAAAAGTAGTTTTTTCTGCAGTGATAGGTACAGGAATAGTTTTCTTTTTGATGTGGGATTTTTGTTTTTCCTCTCATACGCAAAGCCAGGGCTCCTCAAGCTGTGCAGCATAAATGGCTAGAGACTTTGATCAGCTTCTCCTTTGCTGTTCAATAGCAACAGCAGCCAGGTTGCACCATTGTTCAAGATAATTCTCATATCCCTGTAATGTTTTGTGCAGAGCTGCCCAGCCTCCTAGCCCTTAAGTCTGCCTTGAGATAAGCTGCTATATAAATTATAGTGGTCATGAGTAGTAGTTACGTAAGCTTGTGAGCAAGAATGTGGGAGTTAAGTCAAAAAACAGCCAAGCAGTTCAGATGAAAAAGGAAGGTTAGAGATTATAGCTTTGGGTCTGGTTGATGTCATTATGTAACCTTTCTTATCTCATTTGTAAAACAATGTGCTTCATGTCCTATGTTTCATGACAGTGCAAAAGGAATGATTGATTGCTTCTGTGGTATGCCTGTGACTATTGTTTCTAACATTGTCACTCATTTGTGTCTTTGTCCTGTTGCAGAATTTTTTTCAATCCCCTAATTGAGACTGGATGTATAATGACGATTCTCCCAAGTAGTGCAGTTTTCTATCCAGTGTTTAACTAGATTAGATTTGGATTTTTGCCTTTGGCACCCAATTGCATGTTGGAAGTTGTTTTCCAAAGAGAATTGAAAAGGTTCCTCCTGCCCTCACACATCACTTGGCAAACTGAATTCACAAGGCATGTTCTCTGCCTCTTGATTATGGAGTGTTCTCTGTGCTTGCTTTATTTTTGCAACCTTCTGGCCATACTATAAAACACTCTTACACGGATATGTACTGCCCAGAACAGCTCACGTGCTGGATGAAGGATGTTCCTGTTCACTGGACAAAACATGATGTAACAAAGAAGTACAGGGGTTTGGTTTTAATCTCTCCGTTCATGTTTTTTTACCAGGGAGGTGGTCTTGTGTGGTAAATTTTTATGAGGCCAAGAAGGAGAGGGCCAGGAAAAGCAGAGAATGTAGTTACACTTTTTCTAAAGCACCAATTTCATAAGTTGTCATGAAGAGATACAAGCAAAAGTGTTATAGGTGGGGATTTTAGTCCAGAATCTGTTTACAGTGTATTTTTACCCAAAAGGCTATTGAAACAGCTTTTTCTTATGCATTGGTAAACAAGCAGTCATCTGTTCATATATAAAATGTGTGGTGTGTCCTTAAAAATAGGAGTCTCCTGTCTAGCCCAGCATTAATTTATGTACACAGTTCTGGCATTTAAACTGTATTTAGCTTAACACGCTGAATAGACAGAATAAATGCATGGAAATACATTTAGGAAGCACAGTTATTTTAATAACATTGTTTAAAAACACAATTCTGTACTTAGTAGAGAAGTTCCTTTCTTTAACAGATGCCCCTGGATCCCTGGAAATGTCCAAGGCCAGGTTGGACAGGACATGGAGCAGCCTGGTTTAGTGAAACATGTCTGCCCATGGCAGGGGATTGGAGCTGGGTCCCTTTGAAACCAGATCATTCTGGGATTCTGTCAGAGTGGGCATCATTTGTTGTGAAAGTAGTTAGAGTTCATATAGAAGTTGGAAGTCTCAGGTACTGTTGCAATAGCAAAAATACGAATTGTAATACGGTTTCAGTAGCAGACATGCAAACAGGTAAGGCATCTCTTTGCAGCACAGGCCATGTTAAATACAGAGCATTCTGCATGCTGTTGAGTGCAGCACAATGTGTGGGCTGTGCTCTCATTTCAGATTCACAGTTCTTTTGGAATCCACAGTTCCCAGATTCTGCAGATTTTCTTTTGTTTCCAGGGCATCAATTGCAATCTCACTCCAAAATATTTCTGAAATGCTTTTTTTAAAGCACAAACTGGTGATTTTGTAATTTTACCATTATAATCCATCATTGACTTCTACTGTTTGTGCCTATGAACATGGAGGCAGTAATGTATAATAATCAAAGCTGGTTTTACAAGTGAGTTTTGTAATCTATAGCACATGATTCTGCAGGATATTTTCAAATTGACTGTAACTGACTCTATTTTATGAGGTTTTTTTGAACTCTTTCTTGTATTGTGGTAATTTTCACAAGCTCTGATGTGCTAGTAACAAGATTTAGGAGGGAAGTCATAAAAGTATTAAATTTTGCATCTACTGTTCAGATTCTTCTAGACTGAAAAAATTTCCAGAACTGGAGTTTTTACATTTATAAATCTAATTCAAGCTTTGATGTTTAAGGAAACAGGAAGACAAAGCAAAACAAAACCTAAAAGAAAACAAACATCCCTGAAACAATAAATAAAGAAATAAATAAAACCCTAAGTCAAAGAAACCAGCTGAAAGCCCTGAAAAAAAAAATAAATCTTCTAAACTGGAGCAGGTGGTCTTTTATTGCATAAAAGAAATTTATTCTAATGAGATGCTTTGTGAAAGTTCTGGGAGTCTAAAATTACTATATTAAGCTATTTTAAAGATGGTTCATGATTTAATTGCAGGGTTGTAGTTTCTCTTATTTAGGAGATTAATAGTCTGCTTTTCCACTGGATAAATTTCAGCATAATTTCATTCTACAACTTTTTTGTGTAATGACTTGACTAAAACTGTATATTGACTGTCAGAGTGTTTGGGGGTGTAATCAGTCATATGAAGCACTCAGTCAAAGTAGTCCAGAGGGACAAAGAAGCAAAATGGGCAGAGTAATATCAAAGTATAATCTTGGAAATGAGGGAGCAGGGATGCATCCTTCTTGTGCTGGATTTTCAAGGCAGCTGGAAGCTAGGATGTGTGTACTTTCGTCATCTGTGGTCTAAGTAGCTACAATACATTAAGTTTAAAAAAGTAAAAATTAGGGAATGAGATGTTGAGGTAAATGGATTTGGATAACTGGGCATGCTTTCAGCAGCAGTGTTAATGTGAGAGCATTACTATAAAGCAGAGATATCAAAGAAGAGAATGTTTAGTTAACAAAATTTCTCCCTTTTTTATTTTTTTCTTCAAATCCTTGCTTTACTTTCTTTTTGAAAAGAAAAAATAAGGCTTGTTGAAACTCTTTAAGTCTTGCACTGTGGCAGGAAGAAGGGCCTGCAGAGAAACCTGGGTTACTTGAGCATGAAGGAAACATGTATTTATATTGGGACAGTCATGGGGTAGAGGCAGAAGGTGCCCAGGCATGGGTGTGGGTCTTGACCTGGCACCAGGATTGTCCCTGCAGAGCTGGGGCATGGGTGCTGCTGTTGGATGTGCCTAGATTAGTTGGGGTGTCACCTGCTTACCCCCACTTTCAGCTTGTGGCTCCAGCTTTGGTAGCAGCTGGGTATTGACAACAGCTCTGATCTTGCATAGTAAGAATATATAGAAATGACTGATGAAGCAGGAGGTTTCTTGAAGGCAGTGTTTTGCAGCTTATAGAAAGAGTTTTGTCTTGCACTCTGCAGGAGACCTGCCAGTGCATACAGAGCAAACACAAAACAAGCTGTGGCAGGTGGACAAGAAATGAGATTTTCCTATCTAATAATTTCTTGGCTGCTGTTAAGGTTACAGATCTGACTTGACTTGTTGTTCTGACAGAAATGGGCTAGTACAGACAGCTGCAGCAACAGGGATGCAGGAGAAGCTTGGTTCAGAGGCAAAGTGTCATTTTGGGAAGGTTTAATAGCAGATTGGTGGTGGCTGTGTGAACAAAAGCATAGTAGAGCAAGAGGTCTGTCAAAGAGGAAGTTGATTTTAGCCTCCTGCTCCTCCAGCACAGCCACCCCTGTATTTGAATGGGTGAGGGTGGAGCAGGGGTTGGTGAGAGATTGTTTCTGTTTGAGCTGGGCTTTTGGAATGGGGTGTAATGGATCTGTATTTGAGTGAGGTTTTCCAACTAGTCCCTTCCTGCAGTTGTGCAAAGTCTCAAGGTGGTGGTCAGAGATGGTTTTTGTGATTATGCAGATGTGCTGTCCTTTAATGCCACTGGCTGCAGCCAAGCCTCTTGGTGACTGAGGCCCTTCTGAGTGCACAAGGGAGTAAGACACAGACACTACACTCAGCCTGTGCCTCTGGGACTTGGTGCTTTGTCACTGACTGTTCTGTATAGTTAAAAATGTGCTGTTAATGCAGCATGCACATCTGCCTCGGTGTCTGTAAGCAATATAGAAAGACATTTAGGGAATGGTTTTGTTCAAATTATGAGAAGAGGTGGGGTGGCTTCTTGGGAAACCCAGCTCAGAAGGACAGGGTCTGATGTGCTGCTCCAGCGGTTCTCTGGAAAACAAAATGAGCTTGCAGATTTTAATCAGAACATTTGAGCTAGTGCCCATGTCAGAAAAACTGCAGCTCCTAGGGGAAGAGATAAGGAGGGTGCTGGTAAACAAGATGATTTGGTCAGGTACTGCTGCAGTGCTGATGTCTGCAGAAAGCTGCCCCTTGTCCAACTACATGAGAACACTTAATATCATTAAAATGAAGGCACAGCTAATGAAAACTTAGATGTAGTCTTCAGACTCGTGATTCTCTTTCTAAGTAATATTATTCTTTATTTAACTGCCTTTGACTTGCAGCTCTGTAAAAAGTTTTGAAACTTTTGGTATGTTTTTGAAGGTTACTTTGGTACCTGAAGTGTTTACATAAGTAATCTTTGAGTTTCTGTGTTGTATGCTGGTACTTCTTTCATGTGCTTTGGAAAAAAACCCAGCAAAAACTAAGTGGAGAAAAATTATTATTCTTGTGAACTCAAAATCACAGTTGACAGATGCAGTTTTAGAATAACTCATCTCTGCTATGGCGTTCTTAATTTCATAGACATGGAGGCCAAAGTTTCTCCAAGTATTGTAACAGTGTGAAGTGTCTCTGCTACTGGATTCAAACATTTAGACTTACAGCTGTTTACAGCCCCTTCAGTTCATGGTTGGAGACTTAAAATCAATCTTTTTGTTAAAATAAAAACTATTTGAGACTGTTTTTCCCAGCTGCTTTGCAAAACAGGAGGTGGGGATCTGTGTAATCATACTGGATTTATTATTGTTTGGATGGGGGAGATACTTCAGGGTGGTGGGCTGTAATGAAAACAGGGATTCTATTTTCTTTATTAAATGCTCCTGTAACATTTCTTTTTATTACTGTTTCTCTGTTGTGGACTTCACTGGTTGGTTTCAGCACGAATAAGGCCCCAGAGGAGGGATGAGGAGCAGGCACCTCAGCAGTGTGCCCTGACTCGTTCAGTGGGATCCTCTCTGTTTACAGCAGGGAAGGGAGGCAGGGCTGTGGATGGGGTGGATGCCACAGGGATGGGTGGTCTGAACAAGTGCCAAGCACTGAGTTCTTGCCAGAGACAACTGCCTGCTTGGTAACACCATTATTTCTGCAAATAAAAATTGTCTGCACTCTCATAAACAAATTATACTTGGGCCTTGCTGCCTGGCACATTTCTGCTATGGAACTATTTCAGTGTGAGAGAAAATATGGCTATATGTGAAGCAGTTTTGAGTTAAGTTCTTGAGCTTGTACAATTCCTGATATGGACAAAACTGTACCCATGTGAGTTGCCTCCTTTTCAGATGAGAGCTGAAGTACTGCTGTTGATGCTGGAACCAGCTTTTGCCTGGCTGCTGCCATTTATTTAGTGCAGCCTCATTTGTGCTGACAGTTGCAGATGTGTCTTAGGGAGCTGGGCCTTGGTGGTCACATGCAGTTATTCTTACTATTTTGCTTTTGTGCTAAATAGTTTTATAATTTTAAGAACTCAGAATAATTGCATTGAAATTTTTGCTTTGTTGTCTTACTGATTTAACATCCACAGTAACACAGATAGGAGTCTGATAGTTTCAGGTCTCAGTTGTGATTTGCAAGGCCTTATAAAAGAGTTCCCTGTAACGGGCACATTGCTTTTTGCCACCACCAGCATGTCTCTAGCACAGGAAAGCTGTAGCTTGAAGCCCAGGGGCTGAAGGGAGAGTTTTGGAGAACACTTTTTTTTTGCTGGGCACTGCAAGAAATTTAAAAACTGCGAGGGCTAAATGTTTTGTGGCCTGTCTGTGAGGTGTCTCTTGCTCTGCAGAAATACTGGTGCTTCAGAATACATAGGCAGTCCCCTTCTTGCCTCTTTCAGGTGTACCACGTGTCTTCAGACAGCTATGAGACTCAAAACCAGCACTATGGAAGGAGCTTGACCAAGGAAACAGTGAAGGACGGTAAGTAACAGAATTGGGGTGTGCTTGGATCTTTTAATTTAAATACTGATTTACAGAACTGTGTGGAAAAACTGTTCTGGGTGTTCCTGTTTTAAAAGTCCTTTTTTGTCCTCAAAGACCCTCAGATGGGTCTTTGGCTGTTCCCTGTATTATTTGAGCTGTCAGCCTGAAATTGTGTGCAGTTGGCTGTAACAGCAGTGCAGAATATAGGAATTTCCTCCTCACATCTCTTTTACTACTAATAAAGGAGAGAATTCTAGAATTCAACTTCTTTGCAATTTTGAAACTATAATGAAATAGAAATCTTTTCAAAGTATTATGTGTCTTTTATTATAAATACATTTTTTTTTTTGTCTCTAGTTGTCCTCTGTGTATATCTAAGTGTATTTTCTATTAGAAAGCTACTACAAAACATCTTTCAATTCAAAGGACTTTATCAGTTGAAGCCAATCCACCTGTTGCTCTACATTAACAATTAATAAAAATGTGGGGCTGTTTGGTGATAATGAGTGCGGACTTGTTATTAGTTGACACCTGCTCATCTGTCCCCCAGCAAGGGACAGAGGGTGCACACACAAACACACTCGTAATAACAAGCTGCTTGAGCCTGTTCATTCATGGAGAAATCTAATGGGTCCTTGCCCAAAACTGTGCAGACACTTGTTCAGCTGACCTGGGAGCAGGAGCTGTGTTCTTTCACTGTGTGCTTGATACATTTACTTCTACTTACAACCAAGCCCAAGCTGTAGTATTACACAGCAGTGACATGACTGAAGGTCTCAGAGTTCTTAGGTTCCCTTTGGGTTTAGTTAGTAATTGCCTGGACAAAAACTACCTGAATGGTGTCTGTTCCTTCAAATCAGAACTATTCTCATCCCAAAAGACAAAAAAATTGTTTGTTTTCCGTTCAGAAGTGAAAATAATCCCAATATGTGTGTATTTCTTGCAGGCATCTCAAAGTTTTTCCACAGTGGGTACTGCTTGAGAAAAGATGTGGTAGCTGCCAGCATTCAGAAGGTTGAAAAGATTTTGGAGTGGTTTGAGGGCCAGACACAACTCAATTTCTACGCAAGCTCATTGCTGTTTGTCTATGAAGGTTCGTGCCAAGCCACAACCGTGCGGTTGAGTGATGTCACCTTGGCAGAGAAGAGAAGAGTACCCAAAGGCCTCTTAGCAGGTGGAGACGTATTGGAGTATAATAATAATATTCATGTCATAAATTCTACAGAGAATGGAAAAATCGAAGCCTCTGTAGGTAAAGGCTTGTCTAAATTTTATGCACTTCACAAAAAGGCGTGCTCCAAGAGGCACCACAGTCAGCTCTCACTAAAAGTTGAGAACTCAGAGCAAGACAATGTGTGGAAAACCAGCACATGCATTACGCAGGAGCACCTGAATGGAAATGTTCTACCCCAACTGGAAAAAGTTTTCTATCACATGCCAGCAGAGCCCAAGGAAAGTGCAAATGTCGAAGTCCGAATGATCGATTTTGCTCATGTGTTTCCCAGCAACACAAAGGATGAGGGCTATATTTATGGTCTGAAGAATCTCATCACAGTACTGCAAAATATTTTGGATAACTAAATTCTTTGCTATGTTTTTTATTGGGGGCCAATGATAAAGAGCAACAACATGAAGAATTTCTGCACTTGTAATGCTGTATAACTGGGTTTGTATTGTTCTATATTTTATTTGTCTTTGTACTTTTGGTAGAAGGGTTTAACTTTTTATAATTTCACTCAGGAAAAATATTGATAGTAAATTAGGAAGTGTGAAAGGATGAAGATACTTGAGATAAAGCAGGATAAGTAAACTAACAAAATGAAATGTATGTGGTTGGCTTAAGTCCAAGGACTACCAGAAGCAAGGGTTATGTTAATTCCTCTAATGACTTTAGCGTAGATGACATATTTGCCCATTTAGCCTTGACACTGAGCCACACCTCCATTAAGAGGTGTTTAGAAAATAGACTGAAAGTTGTAAGGTGCAGGATTGATGTCCTCAGTACTGCCCTTGTGTTTACTGTATTTGAATAACTGGAGTAACTCTGCTTGGAGACAAATCCCATTCTGAGTCAGCAGTCTCACCTGAAGCCAGTGCATCCCAAAGTGCTTTTCCATGTCACGGGACAATATTGTTGTTCTTTCAGCCCTTCCCCCTTTGTAGATGTCTGTAGCTGATGTTCACCACAGATGAGCTACCATGTAATTTGTGTTGAGGTGCTAAGAAAATGCTGGAGTACAATACCGTAACAGGCTTAAACTGCACAACTTCTAGAGAAACTGTTTGTTCCTAAGAACGAGCGAAAGAAGGCAAATGCAAGATGTTCCAGGAACTAATTTGGATTAGGAGATTATGTCAGTCTGTTAATGGGGCGTGTGATGCTGTGATTAAGGAAAATGTCTCACTCTGTTGTTCTCGTGGCCCTTCTCCAACAATGTTGCTTTAAAAAGCAAACCAGTAGAATGGGGAAACAAGTGTTTAGGGTGAGCATGCAGAGCTCTGCTGGCTGTAAGCCACTTGTATTTTTGCAGTGAGTGTTTGATGCTTCAGCTGCTGGGGAGCACTGACTGGAACCTCAAGCAACAGAGGCAGAGGAGCCTCCTGCGAGATCATTCAGCCTTGGAGCCACCAGCTGTGCCACCGCTTGTGCCAGAGGAGCTGTGGCTCTCCGTCCTGGGCTCCAGACACTGCAGGTTTCTTTAATGCACACAGGCAGGCTGTGTAATTGGAAAGCTGTCCCATTTCCTTCCTTTTCACAGGAAAAAGTCAACGTTTGTATGGAATGCTTGAGATCAGGATGATGTATCCAGAGCAGTTTTGGTGTGTCTCTTGTGTATGCTGTGTAGGTGGCTGTGCTGCCATGCATATTACAGTGAGCTGTATGGAAAGTGGGAATGGAGGAGTCCTGCCATACCTAGAGCAAGATTTTAATGCTTAAAGCATTTCCAGGACAAAAATGTTTTAGAATGGATTTGGTCATTGGAAACATATATCTTTTTCATGTGGACTTAGTGACCCTGTGGCCTTGCTGCTCTCTCTGTATGATGTTCTGCACTATGCACTCAGCTGTGTTCACATCTTGACAAGTTCCTCATTGGACATCTGTTTTCTACATGACAAAGAGTATCATACTTTTTCAAGCAAATACGCTGTTTTAAATAAAGCTGAATTTTTAGCTCTATCTGAGAACTTGGGTTAATTGGGAGAAACAGGGTATTACTATGTGTAGAATTACATGATTTAAACTTTGGAACTCATGTTGGCCAACACATTCAAGAATGAAACCAACCTTTTAGTGACATGATGTTTTAGAAGTATGGAAAAAGGGGCTTGCAGAAAGGGTGAGACCGGTGTGTTAAAAATTTTATGTGAAACACAGTGAAGTCTGAGGGGGAAAGTACCAGGAAGAGAGGAACTTTTTTCCTACCTGGTATTTCTCTTGCACCTTATAGTTAATATATTCCCAACTCTCTGTGAATTAATTTAAGCCATATTCTAGAAAGAGTTTGTGGTTTTGTTTGCTTTGTCACTCTGTTATGATTTTGTTGTTTATTCCTTAAATAGTCAACACTAGAGTAGTCCAGACTGGTAGTGGCCTTGTATGCTAAAGGTACAAGGTTTTATAGGAAAATAGGGCAAGAAAATTTTAACATCACCATTTTTGTCCTCCCTAATTCATCTCTTCTGGGTTTTAATCCATTTTGTACCAGAGAAATGAGGCGTTTTCCTCAAGTCAGTTATTGGAAAATGATTAGTATGCACTTAGCACTCTCCTGTCTCTGCTTTAAGATACATGTCCTCAGTGTTTGAATGCTCTTTAAGTATTGATTGTTTTGTTGGCTATGGCAGTATTTGTAACACGCCTGGAATATTGTCAACCTGTCAGAATATTTTGAATAAAAAAATTTTATCATGGTTTTTGTACCAGTAGTTATTATGAATGTATTTCTGATAATTTAAAATGTAGCTTGAGTAAAGTATTTTTTATTGGAAATTGTGTGAATAAAGCTTGCTGTGGAGATGTTTGGGCATAGTACCAGCTGTGAGTTTGAGCCTGCAGAGGCCTTATATTCACACTGTTCTTGCAGATTTTAGGCTTGGTGTGTCTAGTGTCTTGTGTCTGAGCCAACTGCTTTCAGTTGCAGTTGGAAATGTATTCACAGAAGTCATTAAACAGAATATGTGATTAATCAGAGGATGAAGAGGGAGACAGTGGGTCACTGAGCTGATGCACTCCCAATGACTGATCTCCCTCCCTCTCAGCAATGCCCCTTTTGCTCTCTGGACAAACATACAGGACAGGCAGCCATGACATGGAAATCTTTACAGGAATGGTTACAAGGCCGGTAGCTGTTTATGTCCCCTAAAACAGTGGTTGCTGCCCCAGACTAGTGTGGTGTAGCTGGGTGCCAGGCCTGCTGAGGAAACTGATGATTTTAAGCAATAAGAGTTGGGTTTAGCAGAGCTGACTCTCCAAGAGGAAGAGCTCACAGAGCATTGTCACTCATGGACTCTGAGAATGAATACAGGCTTCTGCCTAGGTGGTGTGAGGACTGTGCTTAGGATTACCTAAGGGCAACTTGACTTGTATAAGGTTTTATGAAAAGCATTTACAAATGTATTTTTGAATATGGGTGAAATTTGTTGCATAAATTGCATTGGAAGTTACTATACCACTATGAAATACTTAAAATAATTTAATCAATTTGTTTTATGAACTGAACTGGAGACTTTACTGGTAGTTGTGATTCTGATGAAACTTGCACTGTTTTGTTTCCTTTCTACTGTAATGTATAACCAGGGTGTTCTTTTCCATAATCTCACAGTTCCATGGAGAACTTTTAAGAGTACTGAGTAGATTAGGAAATCACTATTTCCCATTAATTTAACAGAGTGCATATGTTCCTAAAATATTTCAGTGCATGTAATATTTTAAGTAATGTTAACATGCTACAAATCTAGACCCCCAGTAAAACTTCCTCACCTGCAGAGAGCTCTTGATGTGATCTGGATTGTGCAGAGTTGAAAATGGGACTTTTCAGATGTAAGAGCTGCAGTGGTGAAGGAACGGCGTCACCTGCGCTGGCCGTGTCAGGTGTGCAGGAGTGTTCACATTATGAACCTAAAATCATTGGAGTGACTTGCTCCCTTCATGATGGGAAGCACAATCAAATGTAGGAAGATACTGGAAGAATGGAGACTCACATCCACACTTGCTGTTTAAAGTTAGGATTAGTTGTTCATTCTCCTACTTTCTTTTGGGTTTCTTTTCCCTACATGCAGTTTCCTCCCCTGAGTGCCCTTGCCACAGGTGCCATCACGATGGAAATTTGTATTTCCTAAAGAGCTGATGCCCCATAACTCCTCTTGAAGTGCTGCTACTGAAAAACACCATGAGATGCCTCAAATACTGTGGGAATACACTCTCCCCTGGAAGGGCAGGAGTGGTGCTGGTGGACAGCATGGTCTGATGGGAGATTGGATCATAGGCTTTGAGAGAGTTCTTTACTCCTGAGTTTCAGAGAACGTTCTGGGGGCAAGGTGAGTGACAGCTGAACTGTGTGGAGCTTCCCTTCCCTCACTGCTCTTCAGGTGAGGTTTGGGTTTAAGGAGGTGGTACAGCAGAGAGCAGTGAGAGTTCCTGAGGAGCCCTGAGCAGGACACTGGGTCCATGCTGTAGCACAGGGAATGGCTACACGTAAGATCCAAAGGCTGCAGATCTCCAGGTGTCCCACAGAGAGAACGTGCTGTGCTTATTCATTGGCATAAAACAGGATCTTATCTGGGAAGTGCATTCATCACCACAGCCAAATCATGGCTGTTTTTCATGTTCGCAGCAACCTGGAAACGGAAGCTGCGGTAGAAAATTGTCATCCAACGGGCAAATGTGTTTGAAAGGGGAAAATAACCAAACTAAGGGTTGTACCACAGAAAACATGTTTCAGTAAGTATCTTTTACTCTGGTCTTGTTTAGTGGAGATAGGCCTTGTGGATTTGGGTTTTAATTTGTTACATGACATTAGTAGCAAAGTCAGAAAAAGATACTTCAAAACATCTTAGTTTGAATTATGGACGTTGGTTCAAGTAGTTACTTCATTTCATAGATCACTTTTTAAAAAAGAAAGTAACTTCCAAACACAATGTGTGTTGCACCTGACTAAATGAAACTACAGTGCACAAAGGCACTTTAATCCTCTGGGAACTGTACTGGAACATAGCTGAAACCATGTGAAATTGCACCTGATGCTGTGTTGTTAATTGTTTTTGAGATTTAAAGTTCTACATTCATTATGTTGATGAATGAATGTGTCTAGTCTAGTCTCAGTTTCTTTGATCCAAGTGTCTAAAGCTGCCCCTCAATCTCCTCTGATCTGTATGTGTTTGTAATTTCATTTGCTATTTTCTGACATTCCTGGACCACAGGGAGTATTGTTAATATTACCCATGTTTATTTTATAGAACATTGTACTGTGCTATCTACCAACTTTTGTAACTTAATTCTTAGTGATATTTAGGGTCATTCTAATAGCTGTATATTTGGCAAATTATTAAAATTTTCTGCAAGTGACTTGCAAGTATAATTGGTTTCTTTTAAATATAAGAAGATGGTTGAGAAAAAGTTTACTTGACTATTATCTGCACTGATGATGAATCCTCCTTTCTGTCTTTATTTCTCCATTTTTCTGTGTACTCTGTAATGGGTTTCCCTTGGATTTACCAGGTTTGCTTTACCATCATATTTTTGTTCCAGCATCCATTGCCATTGTTTCTTAGGAATACCTGCTGGGTAAACAAGAATCATCTCTATAAAAGAAGTTTAAAAAATCCACAATCCTTTAAACTCATCCTGGAAAACCCTTAACAGCACCACAAGAGGCTGCACATCTTGTTGATTACAAGTCCTTTTTCATCCAACATCAGGTCCCAAATTCCAAAAGCATGCAGGAACAGCCTTAGTGCTTAATTTTGAAGTTGGTTTGGTTTGGAGGGGGGATTACGTTGGGATTTTTTTTTTTTTTTTGTGTTGTCTTGCTTGTCTAGCAAAAGCTCTTAAAATGTGTTCAGTAGTCTTAAGTGCTGTCCCATGGCTCTGTGCATGCTCCAGAACTGGGGGGAATGATGGGGTGAGGCTGTAACTGGCAAAATCCACAGTATTGCAAGGATTTAGGGGTTTTTGTGTTTTGAATTTTAAAAATGGATAGTGGTTATGCACTGAAGAATCTTGTAAAGAAATCCCCATTTCCTTGTTGGTTTAAAGTGAAGAAGGAATCACACTCATTGGTCCCTGCTCACATCACTTGTCAGGGGTATTGCCTGGCTGCAGTTACCATCTCTCTTCTCTCCTTCCCTTCACACACGTGTGTGTGAACAGCAGCACAGTGAAATATCTCAGGGGGCTGATTCACCTGAGAACTGCCTTAGACTTAGAAAATGCCATGTGGGGAGCTGTGGAGAGGAGCTGGGGAGCTGCACAGAGCACCCTCACAGATCCCATCGAGGATGTGTAGGCACAGAGTTTGTGGTAATTGGGAGCGGGGCTGTGGCCGAGCCTCATCCCCAATGAGCTGCAGCTGTGCAGGACAGGTGACTGATATTGACATTAATGAGCCATGGGGTGCCCAGGGCACTGAGCAATCACACAGGAACAGAGGGCACACAGGTGCACTGCATCACCTGAGGGGATAAAAGGTTGGGCTGAAGAACAAGATGAGCAGACACTCGCAGCCTTCTGGAGTGGAATGATGTTTCTTGGTATGGATAGAGACCTGAAACCTTCTGGTCAGGTATGGTGTTGCTCTGTATGGGGAATGCTTAAAGCCTTCTGAAATTGTATGGTGATGCTCTGTATTGTGGCTGTCAGTGCTGTGACATGTGCTGTGACAAGGGTGGGCATGGAGTTGAGGCTGTCGGGATATGACCTGTGTGACATCCAAGCCTACTGTTCCCTTAGGGCAGAGACCTGCTGTGAGTCTCTGCTAGCACAGCTCTTGGGTTTGTGTTCCACTGCCTCTGAGCACAGCATGACTGATGCCTGGCAGATGCCAAATGTTACAGTCCCACCTATCTGACACATAAATTACTAATTTTCTGTTCTCCTGGCTTCCTTAATTTGGCTTGGTTATAGGGAAGAAGTGCCTCTTCTGTGTGGAGGAAAGACTGGGGCTCTGGGAGGGGAATGGATGTTAATCCTTTCAGTGCAGGTAGGTCGAGGGGAGTTGCAGATTGAGCTCTGGGTGAGCCTGGGGCTGGGGGCTGTGACCTGCTGACCCTCTGTGTAATGAGGGGCCCGGGGACTTGTGGCCCTGCCAGGGGACCTGACACTTGGAGACACAGCAGGAGCAGAGGACCCCAGATCCTTGCCCTCAGACTGTGAGGGGATAAAAGCTAAGGGGTTCTTTTTTTGGGGTCTCTCCTCAAAGGAACCAGCTGGAGTTGTTATTTAGTTACTTGGTCATTGCACCAAGATTAAATTATTTAAAGAATTTGAATGTCTGAGTCTGCCATGGAAAACCTGGGTCTGAGCCCATAAGGGAGCCCAGTGTGAGTGTGGGCTGCAGCTGTGAAGGGGCTTCGGTCCAGCTCAGGTGGTCTAAGAGTGAGAGTCAGAGTGGTCCTGGATGCTCAGGGAAGTTTCCTTAACAATGGACTGTCTAGAGAGCCATTTAAAAACCTCACCTTTAATATCAGACATTTCTCTTATCTCCTGTTGCTGCTCTGCTGTTTTTGCTTTTACTTTTCATCCTTGCCATCCCCAAAGGTAGACTTCCTCTAAATGTAACTGTAGTTTTTGGTTTAGGGCAGCACAAGAACTGAGGGTAAATAGACTCTAGACAACTGTAAAATACCTGCCATATACACCTTTTCCTCTGGCCATCTCTACACTTTCTTTGACCTTGAACAGAGCAAATAAATCC